TATATTTGCTGCAACTTGCAGTTTAATTTAATTAAAATATATAAATATCTATTAATTTTTTTTAATGAAAATTCTGACCGATTTCCGTAAAATGGTGGAAACCGGTATGGATCCGCGCCTACTAAGGTTTGGTTTGGTGACTAAATGTCCCCGGGTATTTGAGTCAATTGTTCTATTAGACCACAGTCTTACATTTCCTTTATCTTTACTTACATTCTCACCAAAATAAAAAAAAAGTGAGCCGTTGGTAACTGACTCTCAGCCTTTGGCTCTATTTCGAGCCTTCGCTTATTTCCTTCCCTTGACTTAAGGTTTCAAACCAGATTTGTGCAATTACGTTTCGGTAAATTAGTGTTAGGCTATTGCATTGCGGGAGGCCAACTACTGTCTTAATCTGAACAGTTACAAAGTTTTGGTAAGAAAATAATTACAAGCATTTGTCCCGTTCCCACAGGTTGCTACATTTACTCGTCATTTTAAATACGGTTTGCATCTCTTCGTGTATTTTACCAGCTTACACACCAGCGTAAAACAAAGACAGGGGTCTGGTTAGAGAGCTTTTAACAAGAAATTACTTCTTACAAGATTTCACCAACATTGAAATAGTCGGGTTTCTCGCGTTACAACATAACATAACAATATCGTGCGTAAGTGAAACAAATTCATAATCGAACGAGACTGAAACGAGTCTGTCTTCGCAACGAATCGCCTCTCGAGCAGATAGTCTGTGCTATCCTGGAGGAATTAGAAAACTAATGTGGTTCCTTTGCTGGATATCGTGAACTAACAAGGCGACTAAGACGAAAATACAATTGGATTATGTCATAGATCCTGATGGATCCCACTAGCTCAATACTGTTCAACAGCATTGAGGGGTCGGGGTGGGGGGGTTGGGGTTCTCAGGAGAATGCGCTATGACACGGGAACAGAAGATAAAATTAATGGCACCCTTCAGCAGTTTTTTCGATGGCATGGTAACGACTAGTTTGTAGAAGGTAGTGATAGTTTTGTTGAAGGTAAAAGCAGCGCAAACCAGCGTATAGAAGCCTGGTGGTCAAAACTCCACGAGGGAGGAGGAGGGTGGTGGATAAATATGTTTAAAGATCTGAGCGATTCTAGTGTTTATAGAAACGATTATCTCACAAAAGAATGCCTGAAATGTTGTTTTTTACCAACAACATGACGTGAGATACAATGAAATATATGAAGTTCATATATTTTGAACTGCGGTATTAGATACATATGGTGCACGATCCTCGCAGTAGATAGCGATGAAATATATGAACTTCATATATTCATTGTATCTGATTTATCAATTTCACGGGTTTATTACGAATCAACTTAACGGCCTGCTCCCAGTTGGCTTGTTAGCTCAATTGGTAGAGCGCTGCACTAGTATNTTCGAACCTTTAATAGGCCTTACTTCACTTAGAACCTAACTAAAGACTAAATACAAGATGGCGGTTACGATAATAAATAGCCATAAAGTGAAACCGCTGGTCATGCAAAATGCGGGCAGGGCACAGGGAGCCCAGCCTTAACAACAGAACGGCAATATTACAACATTCTCCCTCCCTTAAAACGTAGCTAACTAACAGGGGGAGGCAGTGTTCAATGTTCTAAGCTTATAGTCGGCAGTGTTCTACCATCCATACCGGGATGGTGGCTTAATCACACGAGTGGAGCGTCTTACAGCAGGTGGCGTGACCGAATCATGATTAACTGCTCCATCTTGGCACTCAGTTGGCAAATCTTTGCTTTCTGTTGGTTGTTGGTCCAAAGGTATCGGAGCAGGGCACTGTGGTTCATTAACAGTTGGCACGATGACTGGAGGGCTTTGTGCCGAGGCTTGTGGGCACGGTGCTAAATCTCTGATGGATACAGTTGACTCTCGACCATCCATGTATTTTACGCGTGCGTATGTAGGGTTTGCTTCTTTTAGTTCCACTTGGTCAACGATGGGATCATTCTTGCTTGTCCTCACATATCGACGAAGCAGCACTGGTCCAGCTGATTGTAGCCAGGTAGGCAGTGAGGTGCCATGTGACGAACGACGCTGGAAGTTGAAGAACCTCTCATGTGGAGTTGAGTTGGTAGCAGTGGAGAGGAGGGATCTTATTGAATGAAGTAGGTCTGGGAGTATCATCTCCCATTTCCTGTCAGGCAGGTTTGCTGACATTAGGGACAAACGGACGGCCTTCCATATTATGCCGTTATAGCGTTCTACTTGGCCATTACCTATTGGGTGGTAAGGTGTTGTCCTGCTCGTAGCAATGCCTCGCCGTGATAGGTATTCTTTGAGTTCCTGGGACATAAAAGAGGGACCTCTGTCTGAGTGGATAAACCCTGGTGTTCCACAAAGAGTAAATATCTGGTCCAGGCACTTGATGACAGTTGATGAATTCATGTTTGGGCAGGAAAAAGCAAAAGGGAAGCGTGAATATTCGTCCACAACTGTCAGCATGTAGGGGTTATTAGTGGTTGTGGGTAATGGGCCCTTGAAGTCAATGCTCAGTCTCTCCATTGGTTGGGTAGCCTTAATGAGGACTCCTTGCTCTGGTCGATAAAATTGTGGTTTAAGCTCAGCACAGGCTCTACAGTTAGAGCACACCTTCTTGACATCCTCAGTAGAGTAAGGTAGGTTCTTTGACCTTACAAAGTGCAACATCCGTGTGACACCAGGATGGCATAGTGCAACATGAATTTCGCTGAGGCTCGTTGTCGGCATAGAAGCTGTGAATGCTCGGGTAAATGAGTCCGGAGCAACATTGTCCTTCCCAGGTCTGTACTCCACTGTATAACTAAAGGAGGCCAGCTCAAGTCTCCAGTCCTGAATCTTATTGTTCTTTACTTTGGTACGTTTTCGGTTGTCAAACATGAATGCTACTGACTGTTGATCTGTCTTTAGTGTAAAGTGTCTACCTGCAAGGAAATGGCGCCATTTTCGGACCGCCTCGATAATGGCCATGGCTTCTTTCTCCACAGCAGGATAGTGTAGTTCACTTCCTTGGAGTGTCCGGGACATGAACGCAACAGGTCGGCCACCTTGATTTAGTGTAGCTGACAGAGCGGTTTCTGATGCGTCGGTCTCCACTATGAAGGGCAGACTTTCATCAATTGAGTGAAGGGAAGCTTTCTCCAGCTCCTTTTTCAGTGTTGTGAATGCACTTAGGGCATTGCCANGCCTTTTATTGCCCTTAAGAGCTACTTGGAAAATGTCATAGCACAACTTGCAGAGATTACTGTATCCATGCCATAAAACAATTTGTAACACAACAAGGTCACTGCTCTAAAAGAGTTGAAAAACAACTCTGCTTTAAACCCTCTAAAAGGCAACGCTACAACAATCATCATGAATAAGACAGACAGACAAAGTGCAACTCAACAACAGAGTTCACTAAAAATCCTACAAAGCACCAACAGTAAAAAAACATGCAAGAGGAAAAAGTTAGGGCGATCATTGACCAACTGCATCTAGGAAAACACATCAATGACATGACTAAGAAATGGTTTTCACAAACTCCCAGTCTACCTCGATATATACAATCAGTCCTTGCTGAAAACAATTTTTACATAAAATCTTATCATCTCTTACAAAGGGGAAAATCCCTTGCGACAAGCTTGTGGAAGCAAAAATACAACTGGAAGGCGATAAAGCCGCGCGACCACCGGTTTATCCTTACCTTCATTCTCTGATTATAAACAATAAAGCCACGTCGCATAAATTGCACAATGAATCTTTATGTTTAATTAACGATTACTCCAAAATCCTTGTGAAAGTTATCTTTACCTCATTAGTCTAAGAAAATATATCGGTATTATCCCTTTAGTTTCGTTAGATTTCGCCTGATTACGTTCGTTTGGTTTCGCAAAATAGTACAGTATGTTGCAGTCGATGTCACAAAATAGAGACCTAACCTGGGTTATTCGACGCCATTTTTCACACAAGTTTCTTCTGTTATGCTACCTGGCATCCATCAAAAATCTTCAGAAAACTAAACTGTTTTTGGCTACATCGTGCTTTGAGTATTCGTCAGCAGTGGGCAAGTTATAGTCCATTTTACAGTTGTGTGCTTGGTTGCCAAGCCTTTGAATGGGAGTGAGGCTAGAGATGACCTTGGTATGATACAAACCTTGCTCAATTGAATTCGAACCTTTAATAGGCCTTACTTCACTTAGAACCTAACTAAAGACTAAATACAAGATGGCGGTTACGATAATAAATAGCCATAAAGTG